TGTAGAAGGATGAAATTAAATCAAAACTTAATTAGAAGAACTTGAGAAAAAAGACCTGGGATCTCAGTACGGGGAGCTAAAGGAAGAACAGATAGAAACATGATCCCAAATCTTGTGCAACGCTTAGTTCCCCAATCTTGTCAAATTAAGGCTGCCAATTCAACTTCTCAATAAATCTGGGCATATATCACTCTTTTCCATGTAATATATACCAGTGGCAGGAGCCATGCTCCAAAATGAGGCCATAGCAAAACATTTGCTCTGGCCACTAATTATAGTAGACATTTGGTCACTTTTTCCAGCATTTAAAGTGGTTTGACAGATCTGATCCTTATTAGGTAGAAAGGTTAAGTTTTATTTTATTTTTCTCTCACAAGAAACTGACACTTTAGAGCAGGGGTCTGCAACCTTAAGCACTCAAAGAGCCATTTGGACCCATTTCCCACACAAAAGAAAACACCGGGAGCCACAAAACCCTTCCCGTGCCTGACTATTTCTTGAGCAGCCACAAAACTAGCATATGTAGTTGAATTAAACATTCTGTTTTCTTCTGAAACTTTTTTCTTTTCTTGGATTTATTCATGGTTAGCCTACCGGGGGTTTGAAAAACTCAATAAATCACATGCCAGCAGTTGTGTGACACATATTTTGAGTGACAGGGAGCATGAAAGAGCCACATGCAGCTCCAGAGCCACAGGTTGCTAACCCCTGCTTTAGAGTACCATAATTCCTGTTTGAAAATCGCAGGTAATAACATTTTCTGGAAAAGTGAATTCATAATAGAATGATAACTCTCAAATTACATTTGTTGGAAATGTAAACAAGATCAGGGTACTTTCTTCCATACCTGGTGGCTTTGCCCGGAAATCAAGAAATATTGGAGGAAAATAAAAACATGGATAGTAGAAATAATAGACCAAGAAATTGAATTAGAACCAGAAATCTTTTTATTAGGCATGATCAAAGGAACATTAGACAGGATATAAAATACTTAACACTACATATAATTATGGCGGCTAGACTGACACTAGCACAATTGTGGAAAACAGATCGTTTGCCAACGGATCAAGAGGTAATTCAAAAAATTTATGCATGTGTAGAAATGGATAAATTAACCTTAAAATTAAAAGACAAGGAAGACTCAAAATATTTCAAAGTATGGAATAGATGGTACAAGTGGATAAATCAAAAGAAAAAAGGGTAAAGACAAAATTCAGGGAAAATCAAATGAAATAAATAAGCACCGCCAGGTAGATAGAATAGGTAATAAATTACTGTTTATATATGTGTGTATATATAATTACATATATTTAGTTTGTTTGTGGTGTTGTGTATTGTATGTGTAATTTTATGATTGAGAAAAATTTGTATATCTTTTGTTTTTTAATATTTTTAAACTTAATAAAGTTTGTTTGTTTTTAAAAAAAGATAACTCTCAATCATCTACTAAGTACTCTTAGAACATTTACCATCAACATTATTCAGCCCTGATGCTTTGTGGCCTCAAAACCCCCAGAAGTACCACAATCACATCTTGCCTTCATTTTGCCTTTTGAAGGGTCAACATAACCTTGTTCTCTCATCTCTCCTTATAACTATTAAATGTCCAGATTCTTGCAAGTTCTGGAATTTCCTGCACATGCCCAGTTTTTAGTCTGTTCTGTCCAATTGGGAAAAAAGGTTTTCTGAAATATTGAGTGATGGTGAATGTGGTCCATGAGGAAGAAGAAGAGCAGTAAGCTATTTCTTGGTCTCAGCTAGTCCCTATTGACACCTGATCCCTGGAAAGAGGTCTTTTAGTCCAACCCCCTGCAGATAACAGAAGTTGGGAGTTAAGGATTTATAAGACTGTTTTTTGTTTCTTCAAGAGAGAACAATTTAAATAGTTATTTAAAGCAGCAAAGACTTGCAAACCAGAAAGTACTAATTTATTCACAAAAACATTTTGTTAAAATCAGAAATAAAGATCTAAGACAGAAGCTTACCGTTTACATACATTTAACTTAGAGAAATTTGATTTTATACCACAAATATCAATGAGTGGCAGAGATTTGCAGTTACAGGTAAGTCCTCATCTAACTTGCAATTAGGATGTCAGGCACAAAGGATCAGGACAATATGTTAAATTGCAGCATGGAAAATTTATTCAAGCCTATACACAACAGGGGTATGTGTATAGGATGTGTCCCTCCCATGTGTATGGGAGGGACACGGTGGCTCAGTGGCTAAGATGCTGAGCTTGTCGATCGAAAGGTCGGCAGTTCAGTGGTTCGAATCCATAGTGCCGCGTAACGGGGTGAACTCCCGTTACTTGTCCCAGCTTCTGCCAACCTAGCAGTTAGAATGTTGTGGAATGAAGGGACCAAACAACATTCCTGGGTCAGCCAGAGACAGTTTTATTGCGCAAGGTTCAGAGCCAGATTTGTACCTGAAGCCTTGAACAAGGAAAGAACTGTGATACCTCTGTTTTTATACATTTCTAGGACAAAGGATTTGGTGAGATCATGCATTTTCCATATATGGTCAACATACATCCGATTTTCCCTATATGGTTACATACATTTGATAATATGTTCATCTAATTACTAAACAATTACTTTTAGTTTATAAGATTATCTTAGCTACACAACTTTTTCTTAAGTGCTCGTAGTTGCTAATGGGAGATATACTGCTGTCCTTGGGTAATAAGAGGTAATAAGTGACTCTTTGTTTCTTGTGTCTGTTTTTGTGTATCTGACAGTGGGGCCATTCAGATGTATTCCATCTGGTTATCCTTCCGTGACAGCTAGGCCTCATTAGAAGATTTATTACCCCTAATGGGGTTTAACTGTTTTTTAATGTAATCTCCAACAAGCACGTTTCTCTCTTATAATAATGTGAATAGAGAGGGTCGCCTAGAGCTCATTTATCTGACTCTGTATGATTCCCTCTTTTATCCACATTAAGAAAGCACATAAAAAATGCAAGTAGAAAAATATGGACCACCTTTGGTGGGAAGGTAATAGTGTTCCGTGCACCTTTGGCGTTTAGTCATGCCGGCCACATGACCACGGAGTCGTCTTCGGACAGTGCTGGTTCTTTGGCTTAGAAAGGGAGATGAGCACCGCCCCCTAGAGTCAGGAACGACTAGCATATATGTGCGAGGGGAACTTTTACCTTTACCTTGATACATAACAATTTAGTCAATAAAGATAAAGGTCAAAGAAATTCAAGAAGGTACTGCACTTAGATCATTTGTGACAACATAAGGAATCTAAACTGATGACACTTTTAACTCCATCTCTCCACCAGGTCTGCCTGCTCTTATCCTACATGGGGCCAACAACTATTACTAAGAAACACAATCATAAAAAGAAATGTCACATAATTGCCCCAACTTACACAGCAGTTGTAGCACTTCCAGTTGCTGTCTTTAGGCAAATCTCACACAATCGCGCCCAATGGCCACATGATCACTATTTGCAACCTTCTTGCCAGCTTCTTCATTGACTTTGCTTGTTGGAAGCCAACAATGAAGGCCACAATCACGTGACATGGGAGACTGTGACTGTTGTAATTATAAGTTGGTTGCCAAGCACCCAAATTATAATCATGTGACTGCCAAGCACCCAAATTACAATCATGTGACTGCACAGACACCATGTTGACAGTAACTACAAGGACCCGTCATAATTTAGCAACATTATAGCTTCAAATGGTTGCTGAACAAGTGAGCATTCAATGTGGATTACCTATACTATCTGGGAATACTAGATACTGGTAGATTTGCTTTTTTTTGGTACCACAAACACTGTGGCCCTTAATGCAAACACTGTGGAAAAGTAAAGATTTACTTTCCAGTACCACAGATACTGCTTTAATGGTCATAGAGCAGTGATGGCAAAGAGTTTGCACTCAGTATGTCAAAAATTCAGAAAATGCCTATCTTGATTATGTTGGCATGTCACACACACACCCTTCCCAGACACAAGAGGCCTCTTCGGATCTCCTAACAAGACTCTCTTCTCCTTTCCGTTCCCGATTCTCCAGAACTTGCACGAGAGGGCTCTCCTCAAACAGGGTCTCTGGCACCTCAGAAATGTGCATGAAAATGCTTGCACAATTTTCTCAGTGGCTGCGTGAGACCAAGGCTTTCTAATGCAGGGGTCTCCAACCTTGGCAACTTTAAGACTTGTGGACTTCAACTCCCAGAATTCTTCAGCCAGCAAAGCTGAGGAATTCTGGGAGTTGAAGTCCACAAGTCTTAAAGTTGCCAAGGTTGGAGACCCCCTGTTCTAGTGAGGATCCAGAACAGAGGTGAAACGCTCCTGGTGTTACTTAACACCAGCTGGATAAGAGCCTGGATAGCTCCGCAGACTAATGCGTTGTAATTGAACACCAGCTGTCTGCAATTAAAGTAAGTTCGAATCTTGCCAGGCTCAAGGTTGACTCAGCCTTCCATCCTTTCTAAGGTAGGTAAATTGAGGACCCAATTTGTGGGGGCAATAAACTAACTTTGTAAAAATATACAAAAATATGAAGGCTATTGCTTAACGAATTGTAAGCCGCCCTGAGTCTCTGGAGAAGGGTGGCATATAAATCAAATTTAAAAAAAAACAGTGCTTTAGTCTGCTGCGTCACCAAAGTTCTTGTTTTTTCCTTTGGGGAAATATAATCTTCTGACTCGTTTAATATCCACCAAAATATTTCATTCTCTGGGGGAGGCTTCCCACATTACCGTTTGATTGATCGCCACCATCCCTGCCACCAAGCTCGACTTCTGCCCGTCCTTGCAGGTCCCGGGCCAACAGAGAGCGCTCTGTGACCAGCCTCGCCAGGAAAGTTAAAGCGGCATCAGGAAGCCGCTTCTTTCGCCAACAGGGAGCTCCCGGGCGGCTTGTGCGCTCCTTGAACGCTCCGCTTTGCAGACACTCCCCGTCCCATTCCACCTCGCCAGACACACCTCTCTGCCCCCGCCCTCCAAGCGCCGCCGCCGCCCTGTTTTGGTGTGTGCAGGTTGGGTTTGCCCAGGAAGGCAGGCAGGCAGGCAGGCAGGCAGGCAACTTTGGCTGCGCCGCGTCCTCAAGTCCTTTTGGGGACCCATCTGCGGTCTCCATAGAGACTTTTTGAGCAAGCAGATCCTTTCAGGTTTGGTGACAAATAGGCGAGAGAGAGAGCAGAAGGGGAGGAGGAGCCGGAGGGAGAGGCGAAGAAAAAGCAAGCCGCAAGGGAAAACGCAGCTCCCCCGCCGGGCAAACTTTCCCAAAGACGAGGCGCTCCGCGCGCTTCCCGGATCCGTCCCGACTCTCGCCTAAAAAGCCCAACTTTTCTCAGCCCTCCGATTGAGAACCGAGAAGAGCCCGGCCGGGCGGAAAAAAACCCTCGCGGGAAAGTTGCGCTCCTTTGGGAAGGCATAACTCTTTGAGCCCCGAGAAGAAGGGACGCGTGCGCCGGGCTTCTGGTCGGGGGAGAAAAGGGAAAGAGGCGCGTCCCCGGAGGGGAGCCGCTGGATCTGCGCCACGCCGGATCTCTCTTCAACCTGCCGTCGGGCTTCGGGGGCATCTGAACTCAGCAACCTGAGGGGGAGATCGGGCGAAGAAGCCGCGGCGTTCGCAGCGCTATAATGGCGAAGCCGGGATCCGCTTTGGGCAGCTGCCGTCCAGGGTGAGCTTCGGCCAAACGGCCGGTTGGGAAGCCAGCTTGGGTGGCGAGGAGCCATTTTGAGCGCCGTTTCGACGAAACCTCGACGCAGCCAACTTTGGAAGGTGGGCGAAAAGTTCGGCCTCCCCCGCGCCGGAGGGGAAGGGGGGAGCCTCACCCCCCCCTCACGCCCGCCTTTTTTCCAGGCTCCCCAGCAGCTGCTTGATGGACGAGGCCGGATGAGCAGCTCAGGGGGGTGGATGGATTTTGTAGCCCTTCGGCCGTCCTCCCTGCTTCCTAAGCCTCGGAGATGCTCCGTTTGCCGGGGGCCGCCTGCCTGTCGTGGATCTCGCTGCTGGCGCTCGCGACGGCGGGCTGGGAGCTGCATCTCCTGTGCGGCGGCGGCAACAACGGCAACCGGGGCCGCTTGCTTTTGGACCTGTCGCTGGGGCCGGAGTGGCTCTGCGCTCTGGACGAGACTCGGACGCCCCGTCAGCTGAGGGACGCCGTGGAAGCCACGAGCGACGGGCTGTTGAAGACGACGGAGGCGCCGGTGGAGTGCGCGGGCCTGAGGAGAAATCCGCTCCCCCTCCATTTGCGCCTGGCTTCTCCGGCCGGCGGCGTCTTTCTCGCGCTCCGCCTGCCTGTTTACCTGCACGGCTGGGGCTCCCCCGGCCGTTCCCCCCGCGTTGCCACCCTGCCTCGCCTGGCCGTTTCTCCAGCTCTTCCCCAAGGGCGGCGTTTGGCTTCTCTGCTGTGCTTCCCTCCTCCCTCCGGGCAGCAGGTGCTTCCCAAAGTGAGGGAGGCGAAAGCAGGAGCCCTGCTCTGGGCTCTCATGACCCTGACCAGTTTCCCACAGTGTGTCTGCCCCGACGGTCGGCCTTGGGGGGAAGTTGGGGAGAAACCACTAGACTGCCGTCTTCCCCAAGGCAGCTGCCCCCTGCAGCTTCTTTGTCACTTGAAGACGACCCAACAGAATGTTCTGGTAGATCTGGGAAGGCCTAGGCATTGGGGAGTGGAACAGCCAGTAGGGGGTAAATTGGAGGTGAATAGAAGCAGGCAAGAGGTCTCCCCGCCATTGGCGACTGAGGGTGGTGGCAGTTGGGATTCTGGCCCTCGAGGACCTCGGAGGATGAGGAGTGTGAACAGCCCACCTCAGTTCAAACTGCCCAATTACCAAGTTTCAATTGCTGAGAACCAGCCTGCGGGTACCCCGGTCATCACCCTAGAAGCCCATGACCCAGATGAAGGGGAGGCAGGCCGATTGACCTATTCTATGGAAGCCTTTTTTGACAAGAGATCCAACGATTACTTCTCCGTCGATTCTAAGACGGGAGCAATAGTCACCAGCCGTAAGCTGGATCGAGAGACAAAAGACACCCACGTGCTTCAGGTGACGGCGACGGATCACGGGTCTCCACGGCATCGCTCGGCAATCACCTTCCTGACTGTGACGGTCAGTGACACCAATGACCACGATCCTGTGTTTGAACAGCCGGAGTATCGAGAGACCATTAGAGAGAACCTGGAGGTAGGTTACGAAGTGCTAACTATTCGTGCCACAGATGAGGATGCTCCGGACAATGCTAATTTGCTCTATCGTATCCTAGAACCAGGCTCTGGGGAAGGGATTTTTGAGATTGACCCATATTCTGGTGTTGTGAGAACCTGTGCCACTGTGGATAGAGAGGAAGTCTCAGAATACCATCTTGTGGTCGAAGCCAATGACCAAGGGAAAGATCCAGGTCCACGAAGTGCCACAGTTACGGTGCATATCACAGTGGAAGATGAGAATGACAATTCCCCACAATTCAGCGAGAAACGTTACTTGGTACAAATACCAGAGGATACTCCAATCAACAGTCAAGTTTTGCAAGTAAAAGCCACTGACCAAGACCGGGGCAATAATGCCCAGGTCCATTATAGCATCGTCAGTGGCAACCTGAAAGGCCAATTTTATATCCATTCTTTCTCTGGCTCTATTGACTTGATCAATCCCCTGGACTATGAGAGCATTCGAGAGTATACCCTCAGGATCAAGGCACAGGATGGAGGGAGGCCTCCACAGATCAATTCGAGTGGGATGGTGTCCATCCAAGTGTTAGACGTCAACGACAATGCCCCTATTTTTGTGAGCACTCCCTTTCAAGCCACTGTGCTAGAAAATGTCCCCATAGGATATTCCGTGTTACACATTCAGGCAGTAGATGCTGACTCTGGGGACAATGCTCGCTTGGAATACAAAATCTTTGAGCTCTCCCATCTTCCTGCCTTGGCATCTTCGATACAGGGGAATACAGGGTTTCCATTCCAGATCAACAATAGTACAGGTTGGATTACAGTGTCAACTGAGCTCGACCGAGAGACTACAGAGAATTATCATTTTGGGGTGGAGGCCAGAGACCAGGGAATCCCTGTCATGTCTTCCTCTGCCAGCGTGTCTATCACTGTCCTTGATGTCAACGATAACAGTCCTACTTTCACTGAAAAAGTATATCAACTCAGGCTGAATGAGGATGCGGCAGTAGGCAGCAGCGTCTTGACCCTGACTGCAATGGACAAAGATGTGAACAGTGTAGTAACCTACCAGATCACGAGTGGCAACACAAGGAATCGCTTTGCCATTACTAGTCAGAGTGGTGGTGGTCTGATCACTCTGGCTTTGCCCCTTGATTATAAACAGGAAAGGCAGTATGTGTTGACCGTCACGGCTTCAGATGGAACTCTGTTTGATACAGTGCAAGTCTTCATCAATGTCACAGACGCCAATACACACCGACCGGTTTTCCAAAGTTCACACTATACCGTGAGTGTCAGTGAGGACAAGCCCATAGGAACGTCCATTGTCACCATCAGTGCCACGGATGAAGATACTGGAGAGAATGCAAGAATTACTTACATCTTGGAAGACAACATCCCTCAGTTCCGCATTGATCCTGACACAGGAACAATCACTACCTTGATGGAATTAGACTACGAGGACCAAGCTTCTTACACATTAGCCATCACGGCCCAGGACAATGGGATCCCCCAGAAGTCTGATACCACCTATGTGGAGATCCTCATTCTAGATGCCAATGACAACGCACCTCGTTTTCTTCGAGATCGGTATCTGGGCTCTGTTTTTGAAGATGTACCTCTGTCCACCAGTGTTTTGCAGGTGTCTGCTGTAGACCGTGACTCGGGTCCCAATGGCCGCCTGGTTTATACTTTCCAGGGTGGGGATGATGGTGATGGAGATTTTTACATTGAAGCCACATCAGGGGTGATACGGACCTTGCGCAAGCTGGATCGTGAAAACGTGGCGGTCTACAGCTTGCGTGCTTTTGCTGTGGATAGGGGTAGCCCACCTCTCAAGGCATCCGTTGATATCCAAGTTACCGTACTGGATATCAATGATAACCCCCCTGTGTTTGAACAAGACGAATTTGACATCTTTATTGAGGAGAACAGTCCTGTTGGTTCAATCGTGGCCAGGATTAGTGCAGTAGATCCTGATGAAGGAACCAATGCGCAGATCATGTATCAGATTGTAGAGGGGAATATTCCTGAGGTCTTCCAGCTTGACCTTCTTAACGGAGACCTTACAGCCCTGATGGATCTGGATTACGAGAGCCAGACAGAGTACGTAATTGTGGTACAAGCTACATCAGCCCCACTTGTGAGCCGAGCTACTGTGCACATACGCCTTCTGGATCAAAACGACAACCCTCCTGTGTTGCATGACTTTCAGATCCTGTTCAACAATTATGTCACCAACAAATCTAATAGCTTTCCTTCTGGAGTGATTGGCAAGATCCCTGCCCATGATCCTGATGTATCTGACCAGCTTGACTATACCTTTGTCCAAGGCAATGAATTAAACCTGCTGGTTTTGGATTCTGCTACTGGAGAACTGAAGCTCAGCCGAGATTTGGATAACAACAGACCCCTTGAGGCCATCATGAAAGTATCCGTTTCTGGTAAGTGTATTTCTTTTGGAGTTTGTGAAGTCAGATAATGGTAGCTGCACTCCATTTATTTATTGGATTGACAACATAGGCAAATGGGAACTTTATACATTTTGATTTTTAATTTTCTGTACTGGCTGAGCAATTCTGGGAGTTAGTTCATGGATCTTAAAACTGCTGAGGTTGAGAAACACAGTTCTATACTCATGTGTTTTGGTAAGAAAGCTGAAAGCAGACAAGGAAAACTTCAAAATTGTTGAACGAAGCCATGCTTAGTTTTGATACCCTTTAGGAAGATTTAGCCAGTCATGTTGTGATCCACAGAAACTTGAATAATACAAGGTAAATCAAGGTATAATGGTACTGTCTATTTCTGCTGGTGAGCTGTTACCCATGTTTAAATCATTCAAATGTTGAACATATATTAAAAATAAGCTAATAATAAATCAGTAATAAGCTGGATCCTTCAAAATAAGATGTAGTTTCTGTTTCCATACCTTCAGAGCTTAATCCTAAACACTAGTAGTATTAGGAAAATTGTCTTAGTTCAGATGAGTTCTAACTGCCTATATTGGATAATTCTTTATAATTATAATGAATATGTCTGTAGGAGCAAGTGCTCAACAAACACCTTATTTGTGAGACCATAACGATGTATGATGTATTTATCTAGAATATTTAAGTAATTTAACTATTTTACATGCTTAGCATTTTAAGGCCAAAGTTCATTAATGTAAATGCAGGAGATGGCAACAGTAGTATTAATAACCTTAAAGCAAACCAGAAGCCTGAGACTTGGCAAGCCAGGATTCCTTCTTTTTGTATATATCTATTGTCATTATTTCCAGACATATTTTAGTAGGAGTAGAAGACTTTAAGGGCAAATTCCATAGCATCCTGTTTGATGATTAACATAATAGATTTTGCCTAGCCAAGATAAATCCAAATGCATTTGCAGTATTAACAAGGATTAGTTTGATATTGTTGTTGGTGTAGGAAGAACAATGTATCACTTATCTCTAAAGTAGAAAAAAAAAGATTTCCACATACCCATTAATATGATGCTCCAAAAATATGGGGTAATATTTTAGCTGTAAGAGGCAATATTATGGGGGATGTAGTTTTTATGGACTTTTTGTCCACATTTCGTGGACAAAGGTTAGGCATGTAAAAGCAGTTTTACAAATCCTCCTCTGAAATTAAAGGAATTTAGGCTGGATTTTATCTTCTAATAAATTTATTTTGGCATCAATTTTCATAGGCAAGACTGGCTCCATCATTTGTATTTGACTCTATGAAGAGTTTAACAAGTTAAAAGAGTTTAAAAACACTTGTATTGAATCTGACTAAATGGCTTTAAGTGCTCTTGAATACTATTTCATTATTATTTTGTAAGCAACTTTGAAAAATATTAGGAAATTAAGAATTGTAGAAGCAATCTCATTCATTATAGTACATGTCTAGTTGCTGCCTGCAGTAGTTAGTTGCACACCAGGTAGTTAGTGTTAAACAAAATTTACACTGGATCTTATTTGGCAAGGTGATTCATATATGTTTAAATGTACCAGGTTTTGTTTTCTAACAAACTTTAATACATTCTACTGGCTATCGCTAATCATTTCTTATGTTAAAATGGCTTTAAAATATTCAAATAGTTTACGTGCTTAATAGATACTGCAGTCAATTTTACTATAGATTTATATCTGAAAAACACACAAGGCACATTTTGTAGGGAATAATCAGCTCTTGCATATGGACTGTCATTCAAACTGTGCCATTGCTCTTTATAATTATAGCATCAGTGTGGCCAAGTCTAGCCTTTTCCAGTTTCATTCTTCTGGGTTTTTTGTTTTTTTGCAAGCCTCTCAACCAGCTGCAACTCTCGTTGACCTTTTGAGCCTTATTGTGAACTGTATCTTGTTAGGGATGCTTTTCACTCCCGATGGTCTTTTCGCTTTTGTGTGAAATGGCTTCAGCGTGTGTATTAAATTTGGAAGGTGTTTTTCCTTGCCCTCTTTGTGCTGAAATGTTACTCAAATTAGTCTGATTCTGTCAGCACTTAATTAGAATGTAGTGCCAAGGAGAGAAGTCAAGTCAGTGCAACAGTAGTGTGCTCGCTTACACAACTAGTGCTAACACTCACGGTTAGCCAAAGCATCAATAATTATACTCACTGTTAAAATCGATGACTCTATTCAACTTATCCTTTCTTTATTTCATTAGATTTAGATGCCAGTTTACTCTGGGTGGTTTGCAATTTAAACAAAAGAAAATTATTCCATATGTATTATGGGGGGAAAAAATCAACTTCTGTCAAGACAGTATATACTAAGTACCCTTGATAATTGAGTAAGATTTCATCCAGATCTTTACCAGTAATTAATTGCAGTTAACATAGTCATTACTTTTGTGTTAGGTAGAGATTTCCAGAGATAATATCTGAGTTGACTTGATTATCTTGGCTTGTAGTGACTTGTTTTTGGATTATGCCTATGGTCATAGTCAAGCTGAATCAACTGATAACAGTATAATAATATCTAATGTTGAAAGATAAAAGGACATGTCATAAAACAAACCTCAAACTGTACTACATGATTTGATAAAGTTCAACACAGAAGGAAAGGAGAATCTAAGTTTGGATTTTCACTATAATCACCCTAAAGATTCCAGTGGATGTAATCAGGTTGATTATATCTAAAAAAATGAATTGAACATGTTAACGTTTCAAGTACCATTGTGTGTGTTTATTGTCTTCAAGTTATTGTTTGGGGAACTAAGCCCAAACAACTCCTTCATTCAGACCAAAATTTAAGCTCTTTCAAATATGATAATGACTGCCTTAGTTGAAGGAACAAAACAAAACACATAATTATTTATAAAGTTATACACAGGGGTATTTTGTATGTTTGGGAATTTATAGTGGTATAAGTATTATTTTTACTGTAGCTGTAAATATATTACAGTGTATATTGGTTTTATTGCTTCTGGGCAATTTTAACTCTAGTTAGTTTTTACTTCTTAATTTTAACTTCGGCTGGATCAAACCTTGATCCTGCGGTGGCATGGTATAAACACAGGTAGTCCTTGACTTATGACCACAACTGAGACTGGAATTTCCATTGCTAAGCGATGCAACCATTAAGTGGGTCACACCAATTTAATTAGCAATAGCACTTAGACTTATATACCGCTTTACAGTGCTTTTACAGCCCTCTTTAAGTGGTTTTCAGAGTCAGCCTATTGCCCCCAACAATCTGGGTCCTCATTTTACCGACCTCGGAAGGATGGAAAGCTGAGTCAACCTTCAGCCTGGTGAGATTTGATCTGGCAAATTGCAGGCAGCCAGCAGGCAGCAGAAGTAACCTGCAGTACTGCATTCTAACCACTGTGTCACCGCAAAAAAAAAAGGAAGCCTTTTTTGTCATGATCGTTCAGCAAATCATTCCGGTCATTAAATAAATTGGGAAATCCTTAAGCCAGTTTGGCTTCCTCCTTTGGAAAACCCCTGGGAAGGTTGGAAATGGTAATCACATGACACTAGTATCCTGCAACTGTCATAAATCCATCATGGTTGTCAAGCACCTGAATTTTGGGGGCATAGCAATGGTCATAAGCAGGGGTGAAATCCAGAAGGTTCTGACAGGTTCTGGAGAACTGGTAGCAGAAATTTTGAGTAGTTCAGAGAACCGGCAAATACCATCTCTGGCTGGCCCCAGAGTGGGGTGGGAATGAAGATTTTGCAATATTCTTCCCCCAGGAGTGGGGAGGGAATGGGGATTTTGCAGTATCCTTTCCCTGCCACGTTCACCAAGCCACACCACGCCCACCAAGCCATGCCCACAGAACTGGTAGTAAAAAATTTGGATTTCACTATTGGTCATATGTAAGTGGACTATATGTAAGTCACTTTTTTCAGCACTGTTATTAATTGTTAAATAGTTATAAGTTGAGGACTATCTGTAGACTTTATGTTTCTTATATTACACCCTCAGTATAAATTTGAAGGGTTAAAATTGTCAAGAAATTTTAAATTGTGAGATATTGAATAGTTTAGACTACAGCAGTTAGTTGTAAAGTGGATATTACCTATAACTGTAAAAAACATTAATTATATGAGAGATGAAATATAAATACATTGGATGAGATTTTGGCCATTGAATTAAAAACTTCATCAAGGTGAAACTTTTCTACAATATTGTTGCAATAATTCAAAATGTAGCCAAATTATGAAGAAGTTACTGAAGATAAAAAGAGGCTGGAAGCTAATTTTTTTAAAAAAAGTTTGATATCATCATTACAGATCATATTCATTTATGATATTTTAAATATTCTTGTAATATTTAACTTCCTTACTTGTTTCTTGATTTTAATGGAGGAACCCATTAAACTCATCTACCTGCAGGGAAAAACGTACACAAACAGCTGTTTGCTGGATCCATAGTAGAACCTTGAAAGTGGTACTTTAAGTGACAAAGAAAATGTTACGTATCTACAGTATTTGACAAGTAATCTCTTTTTAATTAGAGTAATGCATGGAAAAAAGTAAGATATCTACTGGTAATGCAGCAGAAACAGTTTATGCTACTATAGAAAATTCAAACTGCATTTTATGAATAGGAATGGAAATTGAATCTTGGTTAAATCGATATTTCAACATCATCTATAAAATAATGTAACACAAAGATAAATATAAGAGGTATATTGTGTTTGCATACATGGATATTTATGTCTATGCTGAAAGGCAGACATAGTAGACATCACAGCCTATTGATGTAGATATCAGTCAATCCAAAGAAAATATTCAAAATCCTATTTTACAATGGCTTCAGAACTAGGTGTCTCTTCTAGTGGAACAGGTTTTCTGGAAGCACTTTTGCATTCAAGCACACTCTTGAATCTATACTTTAAAAAGTCTGGTTTCTATGCAAATTAGTGGTGGTTGAATTCAAATACTTACTGAATTGCTCTCTGAATACCATTGTAATGTGAAACAACTTAGTTAAGTATGTAAA